ATACTGATCTTACTTTGGTGATATTTTCAAATGTTTTACACCTTGCGTTACTGCGATTAAACTCTACGCAGTTTTGCTGCTCAACAATTTCGCTGCCGTGTTTTTGCTTCGACTAAAACAAGACACGATTTCGATTTTGGTGACAATAACCGACGCGTATTTTTCTGAATATATTCTTTTCGCATTTCAAGCACAAATATCAAAGATCCAGAAGTCGCCGCAATATTTCGTATTCGCTGACGAGTAGACCTTGTAAACAATCGTATTATGTGATGTATGATTTCATACGTTTGACCAATCAAGAAAAATGACAGAAAATGCCACGTCAAAGTCAAGTTGGAACTGATACGCATAAATTTCAGCGCAATTTGCTTCGAAAGTGGCTTTTGTCTTACTGTTCGTCAATCTTCACAACCATGAACGCCCAGTCATTCTGCATTTTCGTCTTCTGATCGTGTGGGAACCGATGTAGGATTTGAGAAGAAACTCAAAGGCCAAGAAGTCTCTGCATTCTTACATCAATGCCGTTCAGAATAGATCAATTTCAAAGCCAATGACGCGAGCTTAAAGAAAGACATTTGCTCGACTGTCGTTCATTGGCAGAAGCAATGAATCTCGCGACCACTACGCATTTGTTATGGGAATGTAGCGTGCCAAGAGGCAGAAATATGAAGATCTGAAATGTCGAGACATTTGCTCTTTTGATTGCATGAGAAGATCGAATTGGCTTCATGATTGAAGTCGCATTGGAACATCAAAAGTGCTCACAGTAACATCAAACACGTCAAATTGAGAATCTGCACGCAATGTGGACACAAGCATACAAAGGATTGCGTACGAATGCAACTACAAAACTATTGGATGATCGATACTGGGTCGAGACTATTATTTAAAGTTGGAGTAAGGATGGACATGGAAATGCAGTGAGGTTTAGAGTATGGTAGCAATCTGCGAAGCTAGTTATTGTGTAAGAGAATGAGGAACCTTTCTCGTTTTTTCGAACAAATAAGTCTATGCCTTCTTTTTTTCGAACAAATTTCATTTTTTCTGTACATGTATTTCGCTTCGCGCCAAAAGCACCACTATTGAATTTGCCCAAAGTTTCAAGGAATCATTTCATCATTTTCTCGAATATGGTAACCACAGTATCCAACTCTCGATCTCTGGCTAAGCGTGCATCACGAAAGACAACAAGTGCGTCTTCTATCGTCACAACAAAGTCAACGACATCCGGTGTTCGTAAATCTCGCAACATTGGACCATTGAAAGGAGTTGTTGCCATGGTGGACGTACGTGTGGGT